GCTTTTACGTGCCTTGGTCCGGCAGGATCTATATCGACGACCAGGAGCTCGACAGCCTGCAGGTCGAGAGCGCGCGCCGGACGATCAGCTGTTCCACTCGGACGTTCTGCACAATATCCGGTATGGACGCCTGGACGCGAACGACGAGGGCGGGAAGTGGCGCGCAAGGTGCATGTGCACGAGGCCGCGATGCGTTTGCCTGAGAGTTACGCGACACAAGTCAGCGAGCGTAGTCTCATGATGTTGGGTGGCGAGAAGCGGCGACTGGCGGAGGCAAGAGTTCTGCCGAACGAAACGCGTTCTTGACCTTTTGTTTGTCCTCCGCCTCTCTTTCTCACCCTTCTGCTTCGCGTCCGCGCAGCGGCGGCGCCAAACGATAGCGTCGAGCGTCTACAGCATGTCCGGGATTCGCTGGTTCACAAAGAACTCGAAGTCGCCTGGGTGCAGCGGCCCTACGGTGAGGTGATGCAGCGCCTCGAAGGGCCGGCCCTCGGTCCACGCACGGGACTATGGGTGGAGTGGAAATACAATCTGCTCGCATTCCATCTCCCACCAAGGAGATCTTATCTTATCGCATAATCTCCCAGAGCGGACATCGCTGCTTGTACTGCGCCGCGCATCGTGCATTACGCGGCTCCTTCTTCTCCCTCTCTTCGACGACGCATTTGTCGGCGAGACGTTACCACTGGTACCTGGAAAGTGGGCGATTTGCGCTGGCGAGTTGGATGTTCAGGCGCAGCACCCCCCCCCCCCGGCATGAGCCCAGGCAATAAGACGGCCACTGTTATAGATTCTACGACGGATGTCCACGCCAAGGTAAGAGGATTTTCGCCCAAATTTGTATCGGTGCTGATGTGTGGGACAGAATAGTGCCTGGATATCTGGACAACGGGTAGGTAGAATGTTGGCGGGATGGAATATGTTCCTGAGCTTCTGCTCTGGAGTCGAGATCAGGATGTGCCGGATTTCTGGGTATGTCTGAGTTCTCCATCCTATGAGCGACGATGAACTCGATTGAGGCTGACAACATAACTATCAGCGTACCACAGGCCCCATACCCGTATGTGCACGGCGGCCGTCACTCAGATCAATACAGTAAGCGCCCTATTTGTGCCATCTGAAGTGGTGCTGGTTCGCCTGGGCGATTGCAATACACGACGTCACATAGGACCAGGAATATACTTCTTGTGTATTCTATTTCTATGTATTTCATTGAAATGATTGCCCAGGTAAATGCCTGCATGACTTGAGCTCAGTCGCACGACCGTCTGCCTGTGCTTGGACTGCGTATGGCGGTCGTGAGTTCATCACCCTGGCCGTCACCCATATACAGTGTTCGCGATGCTTCCTCGACAGCACACGAGACCCTCCACCCTTATTCTCCGTACGCATCCAGCGCAACGTCCCGCGTTCGTGATGAATGGAAGCCTCGTTGGCCGAATAACCCTTTGTCCTACTACTGCGATAGCACAGTGCAGTGGCTGTGCACTCTTCCGCGGCGCTCGTCAACAAGGTTCAATGGAAGACCTCATCGGTCGGAGGGACCCTTGACAGGCGCTTCACAATATTCAGCTCACAGCTTGTTCATGACAGGGTTCGCCGCGCGGTGGCCATGCTGCACACTGGAACGAGGCTCAGCGCACACAGCCTGCCTCCGCCTTGCCTTTGTCGTCGACACTCACCGTCCCCGTCCCCATTTCCCCTCCGAGCGATAGCACACTCCAGCCTTCACTCGAGTAGCTCTTTGCACCATGCCCGCCGACACGGCTCCTGCCAGTAAACCTGACGAAAATGCATCAAGCAATGGCCGTGCCAAGGTGAGTGTTCTCGGTCCCCGCACGCCACGCTCGCTCGGACAACTTGTTCTCGTTTGTACAGGACAAGCCCGGCCTATCTGGATGGGCTGGAATCGAAGACCATCTCTCTACGAACGATGAAGGTAAGACCAAGGGATCCGCCGAGGATATCGACACCTTGCTCGTCTTCGTAAGTCTCTCCAGTTCTCGACGCCTTCCGTACGAATTCGCGCTTATGATCACCTCATCAAGGCCGGTCTCTTCTCCGCCATCCTCACAGCATTCGTCGTACAGACATACCAGATGCTCCAACCGGACACCCAAGACACCACCAACCAACTCCTCGCCTACAACAGCCAACTCTTCTCCCACGGCCACACCTATCCCGAAACAGACTATCACATCCCTCCCACTCTCAACATGACCATGACGTCCGTCCTGGAGTCCCAGCCATTCTCTCCCTCAGCCTCGGCACGTTGGATCAATGTGCTCCTGTTCACCAGCCTCGTCCTCAGTCTCGCAGCCGCACTGTTCGGGATCCTGGCCAAGCAGTGGATCCGCGAGTACATGCTGTGGAACTCGCCACTCGCGACGCCTCGGGAGAACGTAATGGTGCGGCAGATGCGATTCGAGGACTGGGAGTCGTGGAATGTCGATGCGACGATTGCCACCGTTCCCGCCCTACTCGAGATCGCAATGGTACTCTTCCTGATCGGCATGGTGATCCTTCTGTGGACGCTTGATGACATTGTCGCGATTATCTTGACGGTCGTCGTGTCTGCATTCCTTCTCACTGTCTCTGCGTTCACCATCCTCCCCGTCCTGTTCTTCCGATGTCCATACCGCTCCCCGACCGCTCAAGCGTGCCTTGCATTGTTCCAGATCGTCCGAGCACTCATTTCATACCTCATCAATGCTATGCGCGAGATACGTCGCGTCCTCGCCGCTCGGTGGAGGCACACGTGTGAGAAGCGGAGTGCGCATATGCCACGTCATAGCCAGCCGGCGAGACAGCCCACTCCCGTCTCATCTGATTTGGAACACTCCCCCAGGAGGAGTACATTGCATCTTTCTATCCAATCCACTCCACCAGACCCGCCAGTCTTGCTGCTCTCCCGTCTGCTGTCTGTTGTACAGTCACTGCCAGCGAAGATTTCGTCTACTGCGCAGTGCTTATGGGATATGGTCTCTGTAGACTGGAGTAAAGAACACATCGGATTTCGAGCTGTGTCATGGCCCCGGTATGTGAGAAACTGGCGGGAAAGAGACCTTGCGAGCCGGACATCGACCAAAGTCTGGACAGGCAGATGGCGTTCTCCATGGCAGGATGTTGGACAAGCTGCGAAGGATGCCCTTAGAAGTGAGGCGTGCGATTATGGGGAAGACGGGCAGTACCAGCCCCACGTGCTGGACGGTGATATTCTTGCGCCGGATGCAGCGGATGTGGAGGGCCTCCTAGTGGATCTATCAGAGGTCACACTGCTTCTCCGAGCCTTGTCATGGGTCGACCAGTCCTCTCAGGCTCCACATGTCAAGGCATACATTGACACCTGTGTCGAGACCATTCATTCTGACACAGTTGCAGCGGCACATTTGTGGCGTGGAAGTAACATTGCCGCAGTCACCACATGGCTGATTATCATTGCACTGGGTGATCGAAGGCTCCTCTTAAATCCCCTACGCATCTTTCTTCCAGTTAACAATAGTGAACCACTGGAAACACGCATGCTTCGCCTAAGGCAAGCCTCAGGCATCTGGATCCTTCGGTTCGACCCTAATGACTACGGAGAACTGCGCCAGAGACAGGAGCGGTTGCTTTTAATTACAGCCCCAGACGAGTCGTGTCAGTACATCATTCCTATCTTCCAGCGCACCATTGTGGCCGACATCAAACATGTCCACCTACGCGAGAAACGGCCGCACACCAGAGCCTTGCGGCGAGCTGCAGAACTGTTCCCACTCCTTACTCAGACTGCTTGCGGCACTGCGCTGGTTCTGGCAGCTTATGAGTCCCTTCTACGTGAGTACGGATATCAAGACTTGCCACTTTACTTTGAAGTGTTCAAATTGGCCAATGACCATGGACATACCAGTGTGAGGCCTACAGATAAATCTCTGGGTGAGTTTGTCTAGTTTGTCTCCTTGAGCAGCTTGGTCATGCATACTGTCTTTGCCTACACCAGCTGTGCGCACACGAGATGAAATAGGTACCGACTACCCATCACTCATACTCGATTGATTTGAAGATGACCTGGCATCCACTTCCATTTCCCGGCTCCGAATCTTCCTTCTAGTTTCGAGCAGGTGGCTAATAAGTATACATGCGCAACACTTCCGGGATCTCAGCTCAGCAGACTCAAAAACACTAGAGAAGATGACCAAGGCACTGGAGGAGATTATGAAGCGAGGTCTTTCTGATAGAGACAGTGTGGATGATGAAGCTACAGTGGCGGAGTGTCTATTATGGCTGAAAGCTGATGTTTACAGCATCACCATGGAAGAGGCTCCCTACAGCCTGCCTGTGCGCCAACTTGTCCACACCTTAGAGAGGTGCTACCACCAGAGTGTTCTAGATAACACGCAGCAAGTCAGGCGGTGCCTGCATCAGTGTCTCCAACAAGTACATCAGAACATGCAGGAGAGGTGCGAGGAGTCGAGCTGCCACTGGATCTCTCACACCTGCGATGAAGACGATTTCTGGTTCGAGAAATGCCCACTACTTTCCAAAAGCGCAGGCCCTAGTGACCCGGCTGGAGCTGCTGCACCTTCCGGACCCTCCAGATCCTACAGTGCACTTTCACATACTCCATCAGCCTTATCCCTGCGACACGGACCCAGCGACGCTGACGCCGAGCAGATGCGCCCGGCGCCACATCCCCCTCTGACAAGCCCCGCCACGGCGGTACTAACGCAAATGGACTTCCTCGACAATTTGGATGCAGACTACCGTGACACCGGCTTTGTGAATGATTGGTTCCTCGGATATCCACTGGCTGCACGCGGACGAGACGACGCGCTTGACATCAAGATCGATGAGACTGCTCCGCATGCAGCCCAGGTCGCATCCTCGATCGTCCAATCCAGCGGTGCGGACGCTCCTCTCGAGACAACACCACAGGCGAGTGGTGGGATCTCAGTTAATTTGGGATCAGTGTCGGAGACCGCGAGCGCAGAAGGCAGAGCCGTCCAGGAGGACGAAGCGCCCACGACGAGTAACGGAAGCTGCGAGCCGCATGTTTGCCACGAGTTGGACACAGAGGGTAACGCTGCCCCAAATCCAGCGCAATCAGAGTCGGTCGTGCTGCCGCCGCCGTTGATGGCTCACGTTGGTCCTTCGACTCCACCTTCGAATACCTCCTCGTCAGATGATTCAGTGCCCGCAGATGAGCCCACCTACCGTGCGTCGCAGTTTCAGAGCAGCAGCCGTCTTGAATTCGCTGACCGTGATATATAGGCAATCCACCTGATGCGGCGGAAGCCGGTATTCGGCCTCAGGCGGAACGGCGCACAAGCTCTCGGGACGCGTCGTCTCTGTTCCAGATTCAGTCAGGAGATGTCGACCAGGGTATGGAAGAGTACGAAATGAGAGCTTATCGTGGCGATGGCCCAGAGACTTCAGGCGTAGAAGAGTAGAGGTGGAGCGCGATGGGAAGGTGGACGGCTTGTTGAGCAGGTCACAGTGAAGCGGGGCGTAGAGGTAGACTAGTTATATTTTTCATACGCTCGATGTGATATCTGCGTTTGCTTCGCGCTTATATTCATCCCGGCTGCGCGTCATGATGGGATACAGTTGAGCAATATCGTTCATGACGGGCGCACCAGAATATGTGTTGTACGGCGGTGTATAGCGGCAGAGCTACAGGACATGTATCAGCAAGAAGAGATCGGATGAGCCGAACGTGTTAACGACCTGGAGCTGTTCGAGTATAGAAGGTAGGGACAGAAGGCTGACGTGTTCAACGAACGCGCTATCAAGGCTCGCTGGTAGAGGATTCGGCATGAAAAAGTCGCTGTTAATTTCCGATACAGGACTAAGTCTGAGCCTTGTAATCACACCGTCGGTGAGGCATCTGAACGATCAGAGGACTGTAGTCGCCGAAAGCAAGTAAAAGATAAGTTATCCAGTTCCCGCCCTACATGTACAGAACAGATGCAGCATCTCAACGCCACTGCTCGGCCAGAAAACGTGCGACACTAATTGCATGTATCCATCGACTAACCTGCGAGCGTGTGGTCCATCAGCCGATGCCATCTACGTAACTATAGCATACGCACTTGAATCACTCGCTGTCCGCGCAGACTTCTGCCTCGCAGCTGTGGTGGCAGCGCAGAAATGCAGAAAGCTAATTCCACCTTCTGATGGTGTCACCCTCGTATTTTCTGCACGTAGACACGAATCAGTATTCGGCCACGTCATGAAGCTCGATCTAGAAAGTAGCTTACCAGACGGCAGAAGTTGCTCCAGGCATGCAGGCCACGGGCGCGATGAGTAAGCTCGCCCATCCACAGCTCCGGGAGCCGTCTGGGCCCGTCGTCCTATCCATCCAGATGTACGACCTGTCGGATATGTCCGCCTCGCCGCCACGGTGGCGCGCACGGTCGTAGAGATGCGTCGCCTTCTCGATGCCTCAGTGGCCTTCGAGACCGTCTTCGCATGAGCGCCTCGTAGCCTCTGCGTCCCGGCGCC